AAAAATTTATTTATGTGTGTGTGTGTGTGTGTGTGCGCGCGCGCGCGCGTGCAGTCAGCTCAGCCCACCAGGGGGCGGGGCTGGCTGGCATGTGGTGTTGGGGGATTGAACCGCGGTCCCTGTGCTGTTAAGCTTGTTCTAGGTAGGTGCTTTAGACCACTGAGCCATCTCACCAGCCCACAAAACACTGTTTTTGATAAAACTTTTTTTAAAATTAATTTTATTGAGAAACAAATAGCAATGAGACAGTTTCAAAACCAATTAGTAGAACAGTTTCAATAATTAATACATTGTATATTGTTGTCTTTATAGTGGTTATTCATAGTGCAAGATGCAAACATGATATCCTGTCCAAATACTAATAGCACAAATCTTTCTTCTCATTGAATTAAGAGAAAGTAGATGTATATCTCTCCTAACTATTTTGTATATACAGATACAAAATGGTCCTTCATTTGTATCCCCTTTTCTTGTTTAGTTTTGTTAGAGATGGGTATTCCATGCCATTCAAATATTGTAGGTGTGTGAATTCAGCAAAATACTCCAATATAGTTCCAGTAGTCCATAATAGTAGTGGGTTATCCGTAAGACTGGCAATGTCAGAAGTTGTTGACTTGAGCCTTTTACAGCTCAGCATATTAATATGGCTTTACAGACAAAACTCATTTTTGACCCATTTTAGTTGCCCAAAAGATTTGGAGTAGACAATATTATATTGCATAACCTCAGAAGTGTTTCATACCAATTAATCTACAAAAGTTTTTGATATTGAAGACTATTGTTTAAGCTATCTCAATTATTAATAAACATTGTTTTCTTTAAAGATCTTGATAAAGAAATGAGCTAATAATAAGTTTGTTTGTTGAATGTCAATTATTTCTCCAACCTAGTTTAAACATAATATTTGAGGAAAGAGGAAATACAGTAGAAATAAGTGAAAGCATCAGTCCTTTTAGGAAAGTATGGAAAGATCAGTGGTTGAAATGATACTTTGGTCTCTCTGCTAATTCTCTCAGAAGTGGTGTTTGTGTAAAGTTGGACTGTTACTCTTGTTCAGAGAGAACAACTCCCATTCTTAGGGAAGTAAGACTCCTCCATGCCAAAATACCCATCATGCATACTCAAGAGCAAAATCTCTTTTGTGGACTTAGTTATCAAATGAGTAGTAGATTTAGAAAGAGAATCTTTCATTTGGTTTCTTTCAGAAGATGAAATAATTACTGATGAAGCCTGGGATACTTTCTTATAAGACTGAAAAATGAGGAGTTTTATACTTGCACTTCCATGGTCACTGATAAGTTATAGGTTGGGAAAATGTATGTCTGGCCTTAGAGACTCTCACAGGTATTTGTACATATGAATATATGTATGTGTGGTCATTTGAATAAGGGACCAGCAGTTCTGTGATCCAGACATTTTAGATGGGTGTTCAGTCCGCTGATTTGGGTGCTGGGGCCTGGGCTACATGAAAACATGGGATGATTTGGGTTTCTTAGGGTCAGTTCGACTGGCACACAAAGGTTCCTGGCCGTCTTTAGAGTTAAGAGTTCTATGGATCACTTAGATATGTCTATGTATATAGCTACATTTTGTATAAACTTGGATCTGGATATTATGGGGTAATAGATTTTCTTTTATCTTTATATTTGTTATTGTCTTGCTTTTATACTTTAGAAGAAGAAAAAATAAATGCACAAAAAAAACCCAATGGCCAAATTCCTGACAGCCAATTCTTGGTTATAGTTAAATTCTTTTTCTTTCTTTCTTTTTTTTTTTTTTTTTGTATTTCAGGTAAGGGTCTACAGGGTGTTCAGGGTCTCACTACTAGATTGGACTCATAATGATCTGCCTGTTTACAGCCTCCCAAGAGCTGGGATTACAGGCATGCTCCACTATGTCCAGTCTCAGTTGCTATCTCAGTACGTTCCCGGAGGCAGGACCAGCACGGCAGGCCCAGAGATCAAACCCCTGGCTCCTGCGCCTGCCTTAGCAGGTGCTTTAATCCCCTGAACTTTTTAGCCGTTTGTAATTAATTTCTATTCTTCTGTAAACATGTATTTTCCTTTATAAAATTTTGACGGTATTAGTTTCAGAACATTGCTGAACTCAAGTATAAACTTTTCATGCTTATTAGGAGATTCCTATCATGATAATTTTATAAATATAAAAATATAAAGAGAATTTGAAACAACTGGAATTAAGTTCAGTTATGTTTCCAGTCAATGGAGAATTCAGGACAATGAACTTCTGAATTTGTAAATCAAATTGAGACAGAAATCAAAGGAATGAAAAATGCATTTTTTTTTTTGGTCCATGTGTAACCATGTTAAACCCATAAAGACAAATTTATGGTAATAAGCTATGTAAGAAAATGACTTTGTAACTTAGTTCAAAAGACTTGAGTGGTTCTGAACTCCTTGGACCAAACTGTATTTCATTAATTGATTGTTAAAAGAAAGAAATATAAAGGCAAAAATGAAGCTATGCATAGTCACGTCCCTCATGACGATGTTTTTGTTAGTAACAGGGTTCATAGGTGATGGTAGTTCTGTAGGATTGCGTTGCCTGGTGGAAGGGTAGCCAGCTGGGTTCATTCACGCTGTGATGTTCACAAAATTACAAAATCACCGAAGGGAGCATTTCTCAGGACGTATTCCTCTTGTCAGGAGACTCATGGAGCTGTGAGTGTGTGAGCGTGTATATGTGTATGTGTGTGGTCGTGTGTGGGCGTGCGTGTGTGTGTGGGCGTGAGTGTGTACCACCATTGGAACATAGATGCAAGTCAAAAGCCTTATTGTCAGATCAAGCAGAATGAAATATTCATTAATTTTAAAAGGATGAAAATGAGGAAACAAACTTCTGGAAGAACTCTGAAGATGATTGTCAAGCTTTTCATTACCTTTTTGTATCCACATATTATCTGTCATTTTAAAAACTCATTGAAAATTACATACAGATGTTGTGTTTATGTGCTAATAATTTTAAAATAACAATAATAATAATTTTAAAAAGTGGACTTTTTTTTTTTTTGTGGAATGGGGATTGAACTCAGGCCCTTGTGCTTGCCAGGGAAGTGCTTATTCCACTGAGCCATCTCCCTGGGCCCCTAAAAGGTGGAATTAAAAAATGTTATTAGTAAGAATAGCAAAAAAAAAAAAAAATCTACTGGTACCTCAAACCTAGAATCAACTGTATATCAGCTCTATGATACAAAAATCCTTGTGGGACTTTTGGCTTGCCCTCAAGATGGCTGTTGGCATAATAGAAAATATGAACTGAGTTCATCTTGAGTGATAAATTTTACTAAGTAGAATCAATATCTTGGGCTATTTATCATTCTAGAATTTTTTTCCCCTAAGAACATCTGAGTGTAGTTTTTGACTTGATATCTCTCTTTACTAAAAATGGAGATGTGAAGAGATTTTGAGTCAAATATATCATAAAATGTGATAGTCAAGTTTCAAATTATAAAAAACTTATGTTAAATCTGGCTAATGATGACTTCGGGAAATCCATTTTTTTCTTTTCTAATTTAAAAACAATAGCAGCACGAATGATGACAAAATCTACCAGTTGAGCTCTGCAAAAGATGCTTTTTATTTTTTATTTATTTATTTATTGATTTTGACGGAACTGGGGATTGAACTCAGACGCTTGCGCTTGCCAGGGAAGCACTTACTCTACTGAGCCATCTCCCCGGCCCCCAAAAGATGCTTTTTAGAAAATAACATATCCGCACATATTTAGCTACAGAGGTAGCTTCATTGTTTGCTCTGAATTTACTAATCTTTGACACTTTATAGTCTACCCATGAGTGGAGATTTACTTTTAAAGGAACTATGTTATTAAATCTTCATTTACCTTTCTGAAGATTAGTAACTATGTTAAACCCATAATTAGACAAGTTTATGGTAATGAGCTATGTAGGAAAATGACTTTGCAACTTTGGTAGTTCAAAAGACTTGAGTGGCTCTGAACTCCTTGGACCAAACTGTATTTCATTAGTTGATTGTTAAAAGAAAGAAATATAAAGGTAAAATGAAGCTATGCATAGTCAAATGTTCCTCATGACGATGTTTTTGTTAGCAACAGGGCTCATAGGTGTAAATGACATATGTGTAAATGACAGATAACATACAGATACACACTAGTTTAACAAGAAACATACTAGACACACACATGTGCGTATGTGTGCACCCACACACTTAGTATGGAAACATACTAGTTTAACAAGAAACTAGTCTACAAATGTAACATTATTTAACTGTAGGTCAAAAAGGAAAATACACAACTTCAGAGTTGTTAGAATTTTAAAAATCACCATTGCACTCAGTTGCATCATTGAGTAGATTCTTTGGTTTACTGTTCATGAAATGCCTCTGATGTTTTTCACCGGGGAGATCTCACCAACTGTCACTTGAATCTGGCACCACTCCTGCCTGGTGTGCTGGAAGCGTGGCCCACACCAGACAGTGAAGGCCAGGTGACAATGGAGCTTGATCCTGCAGGAAATGTTGCCTTAACCACTACCTCATTCTTTAAATGGCAATTTACTGATGTCTGTTGCCTCCCTTTCCTGCCAGTCCTCTCCTCACTGCTGGAGGTGTCTTGGCTCTCCACCATTTTCTTTGCACTCTCCAGGCTCAGTTTTGGTCTAAGGGCAGAAGATTCTGATTTTCTGCATGTGCCTCCCTC